CCCAAAATCCTCTACCACTTGTGGCAACCCACGGCACACTCCCTGCATGTGTTATCTTTATGTTAACACTGTTTACAAGCGCTCTGAATGAACCCAAATCCAACGGAGAAAGTTCCTCTTTGCTCACATTTCAATACAAGGGTGGAACTACCACCTTGGAAAGAACTTTCCTCTACCAGTGGGAGATGCAAAAGAAAAAAGCCAGCCTGTGAATGCCGGCCACACCACAGCACGCAAAGCTGCTGCTGCTGCTGCTTTTAATGGGTTAGGCTGAGGGCTTCTCTCTTGTTCCTTTGCTCTGCTACTGTGAAGGACTGTGAGAGATCTTTGAGCTAGCTACAGATATGTAAGATTTAATAAACAAGTATTCTTTATCCCATTTCTGTTAGGAGTTTGTCCTAACTGATGCCTCCTTCTTCCTCTTCCTCCTGAGGTCTAGACCACAGTTAGATCTTTTTTTTTTTTTTCCTTTTTCCCCCCTTTTAGCCCCTGAAGCATTTCACAACACGATGGGGAAAGACCCAGTAGTAATTAGAGTGACTGAACACTGGAAATGTAGAAAATGTAGCGGCAGTGCACAAGCTGCCAGGCGTCACCCATCTGACCTGCACAGAAGAGGAAAGCTTATTTTTCAAAACTTGCCATCATGCCACACAAAACAGTGAATCCTTCCAAATCTGGAAGGGATAGCCGGGCATGATGCCCCGGGTCGTGTCTTACATAAAACGTTATTTTTCTCCTGCACAATGCTCTATATCCTACTTTTATAGATATTCACTAAGCTACCTTAAATCATAACAGACAGGCCTCTGTATGATTGCGCTTAACTCTTGCCGACCTCAGGGCATCTTCGCATTCCTCAGGCTTCAGAAACCACTGAAACTCCCATGTTTTCCTGGCTGCCTGCTTGCAGCTGTCCTCCTCTCACCAACTGGGTCACCTGCCAGGCTTTCAGGTGCACAGGGCACAGCAGCCTCCAAGGGCAGTTTGAGAGGTGATTAAATGCCTGGGGGAAAAAAAGCTGAGCGATACCTAGCTCTGAAAGTGCGAGAATCATTAGCCCTGGAGATGTGAAGCTCACCTGGTCCATGTTGAGCACGCTCTCTGGTGACTTTACCTGAGTGCTCACCTGGAGGGATCCATTTCCATGTGCTGGGCTTGGTCCATCTCTGTCCCTGCTGTGAGAAGGTGTTCTGGGGTGATACCACTGCCTGCGTGGCAAAGGCTTGCACCCACTCTGCCATCAGCAGGGGCAGCCTCTGAGGCCACACCAGCCTGGTAGAGAGTGAGTGAGCCATTCTGAGAGTTTAAACATCACCACTGATGCCTGAACTTGAGTCCCAAATTTCACCAGAGCAGTTCTTCCCAAATTTTCTGCTAACAGCTGTACAGTGCAGCTCCTCTGCTGTTTCCCAGCTGCAGATGTGTCCATCCCAGGGAGCCTCGAGAGAGGGACCCTGGGGAGTCCTCTGTGCTGACTTGAGGGGACCAAAAGGTCTGATCTTGAATTTAAGGCCTGTTCTACCCAGGGCCAGGATTCAAGCTGATTGTGCAGTCTAATAACTCCCCCTCAGAGGCTTTGAATCCCTTTCCTTCCCTCGTTTTGTGAGATTTATCCTAAAGAAACCAGGTTACAATTGTCCCTCCTCTCCTTAAAGCTTGGTGGAGTAGGTTCAGATGGGCTGGTTACTGTAAGCTTTTCACTGATGCAAGCTACAATTTGCCAGAAAACCTTTACAGGACAAAACTTCTATCCCAAAAGTAATTTCTACTCACTCTGAACTTTAGAGATGTTTGATGGCAAAAGTCAAAGCAAAACTAAAACATGCAGACTGATGCACAACTACTAGGGTCAGCAAAGTGGGACACGGATATTAGAACAGTCAACCTTTAATCAGCAATTTTATGTTTCTTATGGCAGAAGGAAATAAAGAAACATACAGCCACTTAGGCCAAGTGAAACCAATAGAGAGTAATTAAACTGGCATTTATCCACACAAATAGCCAGTACAGAAATATCAGTGTATTTTTTTTTCCTCAACATCTATCTGATAAAGACCTTTTGGCTATAGTATTGACATTTTTGTGACTATTAAGTCATTGGAGACTCATCCATGGTAAAATAAAATAAAACCCCTAGTTTTAAGCACCAAATTCTCTTTGTCAAAGCAAGTGTTTTGCTGCTGTGTACTTGGGCATACTAGGCCGCTTATTATCATTCAGAAAAATAAAATAAGCTTTCCCAGTACAAAAACCCTCTCCAGCAGCAAAGGATATGCTGGCACTAGTGTAATTACAGAGGTCAGGAATCAGGTAACACCACCAACATTGCTTTATCAACTGAAAAAAAAAAAAAAAACCAGTTAAGTAAATGCCTTAAAACAGTTAAACCTGTGGAGGTTAATGCATTGTTGGGGTTGAGTTTGCTTTGTTTGTGTGGTAAATTTCTTTGCCAGGTACAGCATGAGCACAGCAAACCATGATGTTTGTCTGGAATTCATGAACATTCAGTTATAAGCACTTTTAAGCACCAGACTGAGTTGGACACAGCACGTGATAGTATAATTTGTTGGAATAAGCTTGTCCACTGGAAAAAAACATTTTGAAAGATTTTAGATGTTTGGGTAAAGAGCTGGCAAAGTCTGCAATCCACTTCCCATCATGAGGTAACCTATCATCAAACATTGGCTCCCAAAACAAAATCTGGCAGATCTGAAGTTTACCACATTATGTCTCCCAATCTGCTTTCGTAGACTTTCCCTTCCTCAGTCTCTGAGGCTGTGCTGTGTTTTCCGTGCAATGCTGAAAAAACAGAACGCTTTGCCAGTGCACTCCTTACTTTTGGTTATTTTTAAATCTCCACAAAAGCTCCCGCTTTCTTCTGTAGCCAATGCCTCTTGTTTGTGGAAGCAGTTCCAATTTATTTTCTATAAGGAAAAAAAAATCTGCAGACTGAAAGCGCTGCAAGTATCCACATTGTTCTCCTGCATTGTTTTCCTTATAAAAAAGGAATTCTTTGGAACTGCAGAGGCATTGAGTCACCTCCACTCACTCTTTTTTAACCCCTCCCAGCTCTCAAACAGTGGCTTTCAAACAGTGACCTTTCCTTTTCGTGAAGGCCAGCTTGTTATTTTGGGTTGGATTTCCCTGCCGATTGTTCTGCGTTTCCTCCTGCGTTGCTCCGTGGCGAAGCCGCTGCCGCCGTTCCTGCTCCCAGTGGGATAACCAGGGTGACCACCACCCTGTGCTCCTTCCCCCAGCCCTGCTGCTCGGGAGGGCTTGGGTGCAACCACAGGGAGAACCAGACCCCTGGCAGCCTTTCCCATCTTCACATGGATGGCCCAAAAGCATCAGCTTCTGATAACAGCCAAAAATGATAAAATCCTGGCAACAGTGGCCATTTGTATGTGGTGGTATAACCATCATTCAGATGCTCAGAAATGCAACAGCAGCTTTCTAGAACTGCTCTCAAAGGACTTCACCCATGGGTGTCGTAGGAAGACACACATAAAAGCCTGACCTTTCCTAGTGAAACAGCTGATCCTCTTCTCTGCACGGGAATAAAGAGCTCGTTTATATTCTGTGAAAGTCATCCCTGTATATAGTCTTTCTTGTAACAAGCTTTTCCTTAATATTGCGAACTTCTTGGAAGGACATGCAGAACCTATCCCTTTTCTCATAGTACCTCTGCAGGACCTGAACTAGTTTGGATCACTACAAAATGCTAAACCCACAAGCAAAAAGCATGAGACACAAGTAGGATTCAGGGTGACCCCTGAAATCAGTCAAAACCTCTAATATAATCTTTAAACAGAATCTTGGCTACCTGAAGCAGAGAGGTGCAAAGTCCACCCACTCCAGGGTTTTTTTTTTGAAACAACCAAGATGTAAAATACAGATTCACTGGGCTGAAGGATCTCATCTTCATTTCTAGACGCTGACACTGAGCCTGGCAACAAGTCCTATCAAAAATAAACTGGGACATCTCAAATACACTCAGCAGAAAAAAATGTACATCTTGATTCCTTGAGGACTGCTGCAGGCCTAGGAATCTGGAGCTCTGAGCAGACAGGCTTTGTTTTAGGAGCAACATCTTCTGCTGCATTCATAAGAAAATGTTCTCAGAAATTCTAGCTCATCAGGAGTTTGAAAGCTGCTCATTTTGGCCTGATTTTGGGATGCAACCCGAGTGCGAAGAGATGAGGTTTCTTGGTATCTCGTGAACATGAAGTGCTGCTTTTCAGCCAAAGCCCGTCTAGACCCTGCACTCAACTTGCATGTACAAGGCACAGAGACAATAAGTGGAGTTTTCTAAATACTAACTTAATTTTCAGTTATAAAGTTGTTTATATTTCAGAATTCAAAATGAGACAATTTTGGGTATTCCTTTACCCAAAATACTTGTAAAAGTTTTTACTTCTGTTTCTTTCCAGTAATAGTTTCTATCTGCCACTGACTGCATGGAAAACCTCAGTGTCAAAATTTTAAGAAATATTTATCTATTTTTACATCTATTTAGTAATTTAACAAACTTCAGATAAAGGATTAAAAAAAGATGATTCTAATATAATCTTTTGTCTTGTACTTATTTCATTGAGAGGTGTGACAGGAAGCTGAGATCCTATGCTAGCCAAATTCTTAATGCATTACACTAACAATATAGGTAAAGCCTTGAATAATTGGAAAAAAAATAAAAAAAGTGGTAACAAAAAGGAGAAAATGACCCTCCCACTGAACCCTTCAACACTGGCAAATAGCTACTGTGTTCAGAAAACAGAGTGTGAGGCAGAAGGAAGGTGACGAAAAGGAGAAAACATCTAAAATTTCAAAATGTTTCCTGAAGATTGAAACAAGATGAAAATTTAAACTTAAGGAAAACATTTTGATGCAGCAAATACTTTTCATGCAAAAGTCTCTATTTTGCACGATAAATGTTTAAGACACAAATGTTGGCCATCTGTAACAGCAACAGTGAGTGAGGCAGCAAGATGGAAAAGGTGTCATGGCAAATTGCCTTGCCTCCCTCTAGAGTGCTGCACTGCAATGTGCTGGCCCTGGTTCCAGAAGCAGCAATGCCATATTTGTGTTGTGAGAAATGCAAGGTGCTCAGGCCTGGGAAAAGACCTCTTCTTGCGTCCACACTGCCTGTTCCAGAACTGCTTCAATACCACACTTCTCACTGCATCCAGAGTGAAACATTTCCTCATCTCTATTTCTGCTTATAGATAAATCACTTTTTCCTCCTTGTGAGTAATTTGGGCTACAAATGCAGCAATGAATATGCTACCTAGAAGGAAAAAGGGAAATAAATATGTATAAGTGGCTCTCCTGCTATTTGTGTGGGCCTGTGTGTGCCTGAGCACAGGCAAACATAAATAACACACATATCTTATGCCTACAGAATATTTCTGTGTGTTCAATGGCTCACTTCCAGTGCAACTACAAACACCTGTGCTCATTATAGGAAAATGTGTGGTTCTTACCTGAAAACTCTCTGAAATCTCTAAAATCATAAAGGCACCTGCCTCACAGAAAACACCTCCCCTGAGCTCCTTTTATCAAGCAGTGTTTATACTTGGAGTGTATGTGACACTGTTCACCTGAGACACTATTATCCAAAAGTCCTCCAAAGCTTATTCCAAACTATCTGAAAAAAAAAATATTAACATCCTTCTTCAATCACTCTTTTAACCAGTTCTTAACTCATCTCCTCATCCACACATCGATCCCTCTCCCCAGTACACTTCTATTCATCCCACTAATGAGAGGCAGATTGATTTCTGCCGTTTCACCTTTGGCTGCCTTATTGATGCACGGCTTGTTCAGAGGGAGAACAGTCAGCCTGTGGTGGCAGTGACAGTGAAGCTCAGTCAGACGATACTGATGCTCTGGGTTGAAAGGAAGTTGGGGCTCTTCTGATTTACACAATTCCGGTATCTTTCACGTTAATGATGAGGACTTTTTGAGAGCTAAAGCTAAATTCTAAACTGATCAGAGCTTCCCGGCAGCAGTCGTCTTTGTTTTAAAATGAATGACTGTCTTTACAGAATCTGAGATTATCTGCTAAGTGATTACATACCTACACACAAGGCAAAAGATTTGCACCTTCCCTGCACCCCCCTCCCGCCAGTGTCAGTGTTATTGTTATGTGCCCAGCCACCTCTGTGGGCCCACTCCAGACATGAGCTGTGAGAAATGCAGCTGTTGAATAACTGGGAGAGTTAAGGAAGTGATGTGGGTGGCACATCTTTCCAGCAGTTCAAAGACTGTTCAAACAGTTCTGCTTCTTCTGCCTGTCTCTCTCTCTCTTTTTTCCACATTTAGGCTTTAGTGTCTCTTTTCCCAGGGGTACATGTTAAAGGAAGTTCAACAGATCATCAGGGATACATATCCCATTTCCATGTTATTCCAGCCTTACTTGAAAAGATGATGTATTTGATAGCTTTTAGCTAGGCTCTATCATTCCAAATTTCCCCTTTTTTCCACTTTGCACTTATGATTTGTGATGGGCAAGTCTCAAAAGATTAGAAACTTGGCTTGGATAAGCAACCCTACGTTTAAAGTTTGCATTTCAGTTTTTAGCGACTGGGGTCACTGCAGCAAGCCTCAGATTACTGGGATTTGAATGACCAGAGACTTTGGCATACTTTAGGAAGAGGAATAAGCTGATAGCTGTATTTCCAGCTAACATAGTTACCTTGTCCCAAAATTAAGCAGACCAAGGGGATTTATTGTTTTTCAGTCACATTAGGGGAAATGAGAGCTGAAGGCATCAGAGGCTTGTTTGACTTTGGAGATGGACTCAAATGCTGTATCCCATGTCAAGGGTTTACCCTTTGGATCCTCTGGCCAGAAAAGGGGCAGGGGTAGAGATGAAAGCTGTGAATGCTTGTACAGGTGATGTTCTTTCAGAACATAAAATGTGTGTACTCCTCAAATGCACCATTGACTGCAAGGCACCTATATTTTCCTCTGGGCTGCAGAGTGCACTCTTAGCTCACCCACTCTGGAAGACTCTGTTATTGCTACTGTGAAAACCTTAACTGTTCTTCACTGACATTTGGCACCACTTTGAAATCAACTTTCCATAGAGACAGATTGACTACAAAATTGGCCTTGACTGTATTTTCTCACTGAGAATGCAGACAGGAGATGGAAATCAAAGTTTAATCCTGTTGCCTGCAGTAGCAAAGCACAAAACAATGCCTATCTGGGATGTAGCATCTCTCTTTTTATTTATCTGTTGTATGTCTGTGTCTGAGACAAGTATGTTCTTGATTTGTTTCCAAACAGAAGAGCCTCACAGAAAATACCTCTGATGAACAAAACAAAAGTATCTACTTTTTTTTCCAAGGTTTTACATCAGCTAAAAAAGCAATCTGGCTACAGACGACAGAAGGGCCTGACTAAAACTGGGTGGAGGATTGATGGAATTTTGCTTTGTCAAAAAAGTTCTCATCAGGGACCTCTGAGGGTTATAAACCGGAGACAAAGCAGTTCACAAGTTTTTTACCTCAGTTTTCGCAGACCTGAAGAAGTCTAGCTGTAAGCATTTTGGGGCAGGAGCTGGGTAAACATGACTGATATTGGCCACAGGTATCTGAAATGGCAACACAAAGCCAACAATTTCTCCAGTGCTGGTAAAATGGGTGCTCAGCTCTTTGGAAGGTCTGGCCTGACAGAGTGGTACAATGAAAAAACAAAATGGTTTCCTCAAATGGGTGGTACAAGGCTTGGGAAATGAATGTTTGTTCAGCCCCTGGTCTGAAAAGGTGCTGTAAAAGTTCAAAGTATTATTGTTATGGCATACTTACTCAGCAAGGCAGGGAATATCAAAGGCTTTCTTCTCCCAGCTGGCTCGGCCTTATCTCAAGGAACTCTTGGTGGGTGGTGATGGCTCTCAGGGACTGGTGATGACAGAGGAGTGAAGGCACTCACTTTCCTTGCAGAGCTGCTCTGGGCACCCTCCTGGTCCTGCCAAGGCTCCAGTTCCTCTGTGGTGCTTTTTGGTGAGCGCACATACCATTCCCAGAGAAAAGCCTGGAATGAAAACACAGAGCTCTGACACCTGGCTAATGGAGGCACTCAGGCAAGGGCTTTCACTCATGACTGGTACATTGGGAAGTAATTGATACAAATTGCTTCAGACATTCAAGGCTGCTGGTCCACCTTCCCACAGGCTATTTTTAGGCCCAATTAGGCAGATGAAGTGACACCAGAATTAATTTGGGTACACTCAAATGTTTGGTTTTTTGTCTTTTGGGGTTTTTTAATGCTTTTCTCTAGATATATGGCAAATTTCTGAACTACAAAGAGCAAATAAAGGGATTTTTTTCTTTTCCCTCTCCTCTACTACATGATGTTCAAGCACTGAAAGACTTGCTCACTGCAAAACCACTTAGGGCTGATTGCTGTGGAATTTCCTCTCAACACCTTAAATCCAAAGCAAATAACAGATTATGAAGTAACACATATTCTTGGCATTGGGCTGCACGAGAGCTCCTCCGGGTCTGTCGCAAAGCAAAGGCTACCAACCCACTCATCAGAAGATAAAATACAATTAACTAATTCATTATATAGATATTTTGGGTGGGGAAAAATGAATTGGCTTATCTCTGTTATTGTTATCATCATTATTATTATTAGCTGCTGTTTGCTAAGATGGAGTTTTTCAAAGTCTTCTTTCACATTAAGGAGCCCAAATTCCCATGTTAAATCCCACCCTAAATTTTATGGTGATATCTTTTGCAAGCTACTGGGGAATACAGTTAGGGAGGGAAGTATAACTGGTGAGATAATATTCATGGCTGTTATTACCAGAATTTATGGACAAGCTATTCCTGTGCTATTTTAATATAATTCATGCATTTGGGCTAAGGGGAGATCCATAAGTGTTCTCCAGCAAAGCCCCAGCCTGTGCAATGATAAGGAGCTACTGTAACTACCATGGAAAAGGTAAAACCTGACTGCTGGCCTCTGCAGTTATTGCTCTTTCACAAACCCTTCCAAAACCTGAAGCTCCCCAGTGCCCTGGAACAGGCAAGCCATGAGCTGCCCTAGGCTTGCAGGCCAGTGATCAGCTGGGTGAAATGCTGGCGCTGCCCAAGCCCCCGGGAGCTCTGCCCCTGAATTTGGCAGGGCAGTTCTCTGCCTTTGCAGGCCGAGCTGTTGAGGAGCTCTGCCTCCCAAGCTCATTCCCGTGGCTCAGCGTGTGAGCGCGCGTTGGCTGTGCGAGGTGACGGCTCCTGTGCAGTGCTCAGCCTGCAGGATGTGCCGCCAACGCCACTGGCTTTGTTCCCCATGGGAAGAGAGGTGGGGAAGCTGGGTTTTGGTCTTTGCAACAGGCAGGGCTCGCAGGATCAGCTGCCGCAGCAGCAGTGATGTGAGTGCCCTGATTTTGCCTGTGCCCTCGGTAACCCCAGGCTGATACAGATGGAAGGAAGGTGGTCATGAAATGGCACCTGATTGTGAGACACAACCATCCCAGCCCCGAGGAAACCAGGACTCCACTCTCTGCTGTAAAACACAGCACTAGGTCAGAGCATTCCAAGTGGAATTGAGTGACAGGCTTCCCTTGCTCTTACGTCACAGTACCAACTTTTCACTGTCATGTCATAATTAAGCACAAGAGTTTGAGTCTGACTGCAGTTTACCTTCACATAAACCCTAAACTAAACTTTAATAAGTATCTGATGCTTAGGAAAAAACCCTTTAATACATCAGCAGAAACAAATGGCTTTTTATGTTATTTTACAATATCACACATACCTCTCCCCTAATTTCTTTCTGAAGGCAACACATATATAATTTTGAGTCTCAAGTTTTTTTTTTTCTCACCTGTATCTCCTAAGCATAATCTCAGCACTAGGATGGTTGGTAGCAGAGGAGTAATTAATACTTTCCAATAATAAATTATAAATCTGGGGCAGAAAAACTTCTAAATATTGAACTGCTCCAAGATGCATTTATTTTAGACAATCCAGGCTGTAACCTTACCTCAAAATACTGAGTCATAAAAACTACTTACATGAACAAAAGTCCCAATCCATTGAAAAAGTCCTTTTAAGTGTAGTTTTTAAACCTAAAGTCTTCATAAAGTGCTTGCCCTTTTTCCTCCCTTAAAGGGGTTCATAGCTCCTGTAAATTCCTGCCTCATCACCCACTTCCCTGGCTCACATCTAAGCACCATATTCACCTTTTTATCTCCACCTGCTTTGCAGTGAATCTTACCATGGTATCTCTTTAAGCAGTACCAGCTGATGGTGCTGAGACCCACTTGCAGAAAGATCTTCAGTCTGTAAAAAGCTAAAAACCAGAACAAAACACAATATGTGTTAATAATACATTTTCAGAGACTTGTAGGAAACATTAGCAACTGGTCTCTACCAAGACAATGAGCTACAAGGAAAATACTGAGCTTCCAAAATGGCAAAAATTATATTCTCACAGGCACAACATCAAGGGAGATTTGTCTTCTGTCCTTGCCTGTAGCACAGATAATGGATTCTTCAAATCCCTGTCTCTCAGCAGCTTCATAGCAGGACATCCCTGCGAGATCACTAAAAGCTGAATCTCACAGAGAAAAGTCATTTCTCCACAGTCTTTCAAGAAGTCTTTGTAAAAAAGGACAATGCAGCAGAGGAGGGAAAGGAAAACTGCTGTAAATATTTGAAAGGGTCAAAATTAAAAGAAAGTCGGAGTTTATTTACAATATCTTTGTGTTGGCACTAGGTATTCATGCATGAAAATGTTCCTGAATTTTCTAACAGAAATTACTCCAAAGGAGTAAATGCTTTGCTTCAGTCTCATTTTGTCATGCCCATGAACATACCAGAGCTGAAAGGTACCTGGCTGAATTTGGGTAAAAATAGATGGGATTTTGAAAAGCAGGAAGAAATGCCTGGGAAAAGTCACCTACATATGGTCTTAATCATGCCAATGGATAACCCCCACATTACCCTTTAAAAGGTCATCTGATAAACATCAACATTGGGCTTTTCTCACAAACCCAACACCTAAAATTGCTTCAGGCTACTGTAATACGGCATGAGAAGTTAAATTAGAAGCATATATTTGGTAATAGCACCTCTGAGAGGGAGTCTTCAAAAGCCTGTGCCCCCATTAAAGGATTAGAAGTCCAGCACACATATCAGCAACTGCTCTCCATCCAAAGAGAAACAGAACAGGAGACAGAAATCAGCATTTTGTTCTGATTAGCTTCTTTGATTGATGTAATGTCTTAATTACTTTTTTTTTTTTCTTTTACATTGCTGCAAGCCTGCCACTGAGGAAAGTACTATAAAGAATATCACTATGAAGTAAAGATTTCAAGCTCTCCCTTATCTCTTGTGGGTCTGGTAGTGATCTTTCCAGAATATTTGCTGGTGAGACACACAGAATAAAGCAGACTCCAAGCAGCTGGTAGTCTTGGGTCCATTTTTTTTCAGGGGTACTCAATATCCAAGTTACAGACTTGGAGGTAAAATCATTCAAGAATAAGAATGGGGTCATTAAGTACTTCTGGAAATGTGTGAATTCCGTATGAAACAATGGAAGATATATTAAAAAAGAAGCAGGGATAATTAGTCAGTACATTCAGAAGAACTTCCTTGTTGTTTGGGCATTTTCCCTTCTGGAAGCAAATCCATTCAATTTTCCCTGAGTGCCAACATTTTGAGGTTATCTGCCCCAAAGGCAAATAGATCAGATTGTCCAAGAAATAAGGATGAAGGCAAAGGGCACACCCTAAGGACTGAAGACTGGCTGAGAAATTGGAGAGTTTAAGGGAAAAGAAATTCTCTGTCTCAAGGTCACTGATGATTTTAGGATATATTTACATGGAGAAGAACACTCCTAACCACAGTTTTTTATACTTTTGGTGTTTTTCTCTTGCTTCTGACTCAAAGTTCAGGGCATCTCTCCACTTTCCAAGTAGAGTTCTGAGCTGTGCTTCAGCACTTGTGGGTTTTAAGAAAGGATAAATGGAAGTAAAATTTTGCTCCGATCTTGCAGCCAGTCAGAAAATCCTCTGCACATGGGTTTTCATGGAATTTCCTATTTATTTCATCCCAAATTCATCCTTTTAGTTCACAAAACAGGAAATAAAATTTCCTCATTGCTGGCTGTACAATTCTTGCCCAAGAACTGGTGATCAGGCTCTGCTCCTTTTTCCATATTTCAGGATTTGTGGGAGGTACAGCCTTAATTTCTGAATCTGTTAGAGGTGAGCAAGGCATGACAGAAATGGCCTTGCCTTCAAACAGACACAGTGACTTTGAACTCCTAAATTTTCTCTCTCTGAAGCCCTAAGTTATCCTTGTGGGTTTTCTCTCCTGGATTCATGAGAGCAGTAGAGTAGCTCAATTGAATTTTCTTTCCCACCTCCCACTGAAGAGGGACATTTCTGAGCCCATTTTTCCCAGTATTTCTGTGCTTAACAGGTCCCACCTCTAGGGACTCCTATCTTAAGAGCATACAAACAGGAGCAGGCTGCTGCAGCAGGAATCCAGAAGCTAGAGCTGTCAAACCAAGCCTTATTAGATACCAAAGGGGCTAATAAAAGAATGGGTGTTTGTTGTATTTCTGTCAGGGATGGTTGCTGAAAACCCTGGAGAGAAGGATCTGAGACACCTCAGCCCCCAAGTTCCGATGGATGTATTTCTAGTTGATCAATCTCTCTGTCTTTGTGCCTGAGCTACTTCCCACTTCAGGCCTCTGACAGCTGGACAAAGCAGGGTTTGAGCTGTGCCTTGCTCTAAGTAAGTGTGGAGAGATGTTTTCAGTCTGACCTTGCCAAATCAGGCTCAGGCTTGGGGCGTTTGCTGAGGTCTGGGGAAGATTTTCCCACTCAATCGCAAGTGGCAAAACCGAACTCTATCCACAGCAATGTGCTGGAGTACTGAAGTGACAAATGTTTGGGGAGACAGGAATCTACCTTATGATCTGCAGAGCCTTTAGCTTCATAAAGCAGAGGAAAATACTTATATATGTTGATTTGGTGGTGGTGGGGATTATTAAAAGCTAATTATAACTTGAGAAACAGAAGGAATATATTTAACAACACAGTTCATTATTATCCTTCTATATTAAAGAGATAAGATTTGGCAGGAGGAAATGGGCTTTGTTTGGCTTTTTGTTCTCAAGTTCTCATAGTTTCTTAAAGACCATCAGATAATGAGATGTAGAAGCACACATACAGATATAACATGGTGCAGTAATAAACAGAATATAATACCAGACAGCAAAAGCAAATCTTCCACATTTAAACACTTTTGTGCATTTTTCCTCTCTACTTTTTTCTCCTTGTCTTAAAACAATACAAAACTCCAATTCAAATAATGGCAAACTCCCTTCAGGATTTCACCCAGGATTTCCATACTGTACAACAATAGTTCCCCTCCCTCACTTGTTACCCTGCTCTCTGTTTCTTCCCTCTAGTCAGAATTGTTGCTGTGCTAAATAATTAAAATGTCACTGGCCTTTTCCTGATCACTTTTTACACCTAGGACTGTTATATGTCATAGATTGCCCTGAGTACTTTTACTGTCCTGAGAAAATATTTTGTATGAGTGTGTCATATGTTAACGATAAATACAGTGGCTGATACTTCATGGAGTCAATAATGGGCCTTTTAAGATATTGCAGAGAATTTCTGTTCTGCTTTTAAATAGCAACTCTTCCATAATTATAATGATGAAGATAACAACAACAGCAACAATAGTAATATTCTCAGTCCTCTGCCAAGTGTACCAACTGGTGTCAGAGATGGAGAGAGATGAATTCATCATATTCATGTCCTCCTTTCTCCACAGGAGTAGAAAAGGTGTGATAACAATCATGCTTCCAGACTTGCTCTTGAACACTTTTCAGCTGGCAATAGCTCATATTTGGGACTAGAATAGGGGAAACAGCCAGGCACCTTAGCTAGTACTGCTCAGTACCAGTCTGGCTCCACATTTCTGCATTTCCTGGTAATGCATGATCAGGCACGATTGCAAAGGGGAGCCTGGAATGAGTAAGAGAAAAATGAGATGTCAAATCTTATATTTAGAGGACTTAGAAAAGCATGTAAATAAGTTACAGCATTGATATCCTGACAGATTGCTCAGCCAGGGGGGTGGAAATGGAAAATGAAAATCTATTGAATAAATAAATTAATTTTTAAATCTATAAGTGGTTTTAGTAGACTAATATCCTCTTACACCAGATTATCCTACAGAAGTCAGTTCCCAAACTCCCTCCCAGCGTATTAAACAGTGACATGTTCAAACAGAACAGTGCAAGGGAAAAGCCAAAGGAACCCTTGCTGGTTGAGCACGCTCATAAATGTGTTTCCACCAGCTCCTGTGCGCAGCCTTTCCCAGCACAATCCTCTGCTGGTCCCCAGAGAACTGGATATTGTACTGACATCAGAAACCCACTGCCCCACACAGGGCTTCTTCGCCAGATTTCTGTTAAGGGAGCAAGAAACAGCAGCCCTTTTTGGGACTTTTCTCTGCAGCAGATAACTGATACCAACCTTCAGTAGGTGGAATGTGGGCTCAGAAGGTGCAGGTTCCAAGTCCAGGCCTGTTGCTGACCTCCTGAACAACATCAGACAGGTCAATTCATGCCTCTATGTAATGCACGTAATGATACTGAACTCCTCTGTGAATTGCTTTGAGTCTCACTGGGAGAAAAATTCTGTAACCCCCCCAAAATATTTCATGAATAATGAATTGCAGGGATGATAGTACATTAAATGTGTAACAAAAAGCCATTTAAAAGCTCAGCGCACGGCAAGTTAACAAAACATGGGTGAACTGGAGGCTCAGTTCTCATAATTCTCCCTCTCATCTAATAAAATGGCTTTTTAAAGTCTGGACAAGTGAAAATGGACTTACTAATTGCATCTCGCTCATTTTTAGATGGAAAGATTAATCACAGGAGCCAGGTGGGGTTTTTTTTGGCTCTTGACTCATTTTGTCTAAGTGGTCAAGGACATTAGTAGGATTTATTAGTGGGAATCACTCAGCAATACCAGTTCTGTCTCAATCAGATAAAAAAAAAATTAATTTTTTTCTCTTTCTGGGCTTGATCCTTTTGCAGGTTCAACTCTTTCAAATGTGGATCAGGTTGATCCTAAATCTACTACGCCATGTTTAACTCTAGAGCCACTTTTCCTACCTGATGACTTAAGACTTGGGAGTGGGTCTGTCTGCCTACTCAAACCCGAGGTGGGAGAGAAGGTGACTGCTGTGGTGGGATTCTCCACAGCGCTGAGCTATTCCAATAAACACGCAAAGCCTGAGTGCTGTGCTCCGCGG